CACACACACGCACACGCACACACGCATACACACACGCACGCACGCACACGCACGCACGCACGCACACACCCACACATACAAACAAACACAACACACGCACGCGCGCACGCACGCACGCACGCACGCACGCACACACACACACAAACACACACACACACACACACCACACACACACGCGCGCACACACACACGCACACGCACACGCACACGCACACGCACACGCACACGCACACGCACGCACGCGCGCGCACGCGCACGCGCACGCGCACGCGCACGCGCACGCACTTGCACGCACACAAGCACACACGCACACACACAAAACCACACACACACGAACAACGCTAATGCACGCCTGGCGTGTTCACTGCATCACAGACCCACGACGTATGCGCCACATAGTGAGCACCCACATGATACACACGTCCAGAAACAGCCACACACGCATCATACACTTGACGGGCAGGAGCCCAACATCAGAAGCAAACGCCTTGCCACCAGAGGGGGTGCGCAGGGGGTGGTTCCTGGGCTCGGCCGCTATGCGCGCCTCTCGTCCAGGGCATAGCAGGCGTGGCTCTCCCTCGACACCAGAGAGGGTGCGCAGGGGGTGGTTCCCGGGCTCGGCCGCTATGCGCGCCTGTCGTCCAGGGCACAGCAGGCGGGGCATTTTGTCGACACCAGGGAGGATGCGAAGGGGGTGGTTCCCGAACTCGGCCGCTATGCGCGCATCCCGTCCAAGGCATAGCTGGAATGGCACTCTCTCGACACCAGAGAGGGTGCGCCAAGGGTTGTTCCCGAGCTCGGCCGTTACGTGCGCCTCTCGCCAAGTGCATGGCGGGTGGGGCAATTTCTCGACACCAGGGAGGATGCGGCTGGTGTGGTTCTTGAGCTCGACCGCTATGCGCGGCTCTCGTTCAGGAGATATTAGCAGGCGGGGCACTCTCTCGACAACGGAGGCGACGGTTCCTGAGTTCGGCCGCTATGCGCGACTCTCGCCCAGGGCATAGCAGGCGGGGCATTTTGTCGACACCAGCGGGGGTGCGCGGGGGGCTGGTTCCTGAGCTCGGCCGCTATGCGCGCATCTCGTCCAGGGCATAGCAGGCGCAGCGCTTTCTCGACACCAGAAGGGTGCGCGGGGGGCTGGTTCCTAAGCTCGGCCGCTACGCGCGCCTCTCGTCCAGGGCATGACAGGCGTGGCACTTTCCAGACACCAGGGAGGGTGCGCCAACATGTTTCGTGGGATTCTGGTTTTTGGGTCAAAGTGACGCCAGGGAGGGTGCGCAGACATGTTTCGTGGGTTTCTGGCTTTCGGCTCAAAGTGGCGGTTAACCAGTAACGCCCAAGTTTTTGCCCTTCCTGGGCCCCCTCTGTCAGGGCACTCAGGCTCCCAAGGCTCAGCCGGCGCCGCCAACGGTATCGGCGGAGCAACGGCCACCTGCATCATTCTCGCAAGTTCCACGTCAGCCAGCCCTCATCACGCCAGGCACATGATGAGTACGTGGGGTTCATCGGAAGCGTAATTTCAGATTGTCTTGATTGTCGTCTTCCCCCCCCCAACTCCATATTTTCCCATGCTTTCCTGGGGATCGACGATTCTTTGTCTGTGTTTTTTTTTTGTTCCCCCCTCTTGACCCTCGCCCGTCCGAGGGCTGGGCGGCGTCGCCGAGGGCCGAGGCTCGAGGCTCCAAGGCTTCTCGGGGGCGCCGGGCCTTCTGCGGAGCTGGAGGAAGCTGCGCTGCGGCACCGCGGAGGCCTCTGGAAGTTCCTGGAGCTGAGCAGGGACCGACCGCCCCGGCACTTCTATCGGGGAGACGTAAGACCCGGGTACGGGGGACTCGGAAATCCCCGACGAGGTCGTCAAAAAAATGACGAGGCCGAGCCTGCATTTTGACGAGGCCTCCCGCTGCAGCCATCCCACGAAACTCCTCCTCGTCAAAATCCGAGTCGCGGTCGTCAAAAAACGATGGCGAACCCGAGTCCCGGCAAACCTGGGTCTTACGCTCCCCCGATCTTAGAACCCAGAATGTTCCAAAACCAAACACCATGTTCTTAGAACATAAGCCCGATGTGTTAAAACAAGGCAGGCCCAGCCAGACTGTTCTGAGAACATCTCGCGCAAACAACAAACGTTTCTTAGAACATTCTCTGGCAGCCCTATAGGCGAGCCAGGACGCTTCGCCAGTGCTTGGTGGAGGAGGACGACGCTGGTCGTCGCCGCCGGCGGGCCCAGCGGACTACAACGCGACCTGGCTGCCAGGCGAGCCTATGCGGGCCTGGCGCGCAGACCCCTTGTGGCAACCAAACGACATGGCGAAATGTCTGCGTGCAAGAAAAATCCGCCGATCCGGCGTGTGAGTTTCAAGGAGTCTCAGCTACAGCTTCGAGGCTGAGCCTCAACCTCTGGGGTGGTTGCCGGGGTGGCTCTGCCGGGGAAGGGGGGGTTGGGGGGAGGGGGGGGCGAGTTTCCGGCGGATGCGTTTTTTGACACCCCTCACAGGGATCGTGGCCTCCGAGGGAGTTCCGAACTCGAGTGCCACCCCTCCCGCACCAAGAGGCTCCGAAGAGGCCTCCACGAGGCCCCAAGGGGCCCAGAAGAGACCCCCAAGAAGCCCCAAGAGACTCCCAAGAGACCCCCAAGAAGCCCCAAGAGGCCCCCAAGAGGCCCCCAGAGGTCCCAGCCAACCACGAGATCTCAACCAGCGTCCATGAGGCCTCTGACCCACCACCCACGCACGGTGGTGGGATAGGCCGAAGGCCACTGGATAAATGCGGAATGAGAGGGCAAGGAAGGGAAAAGAGAGGAGGGACGAGGGCGAAGGAGGATCACATCAGTCGGAGCGCTCCGGATCGGCGGCACTGGCCGAAGGCCACTACAATACCACTGTGTGTGTTTTTCCCACAGTGTGTTTTTCCCTACAGACTGTGTTTGTTTCCCACAGACTGTGTTTTTTGTTTGTTTTTCTCCTTCACAGACGTGCGTTGTTTTGTGTTTTTTTTCCCTACCTAGGCTCTGCCTAGAAGGGTTCTTACTCTGTTAGCTTAAAGGGCCGGGCAGTAGAAAGCGCCCCGGGCGGTTCCCCCAGTCCCCGCCCCGCGGTTCCCCCAGTTGCGCCCCCTGGGTTCACCCAGCTTAGCTTAGCTTCAGCTTAGCTTTAGCTTAGCTTGAGCTTAGCTTTAGCTTAGTTTTAGCTTAGCTTTAGCTTAGCTTTAGCTTAGCTTCAGTTTAGCTTTCCCTTAGCTTTAGCTTAGCTTCAGCTTAGCTTTGCTTAGCTCTATATTAGCTTCAGCTTAGCTCCAGCTTAGCTCTAGCTTAGCTTTAGCTTAGCTCTAGCTTAGCTTCAGCTTAGCTTTAGCTTAACTTTAGCTTAGCTTCAGCTTAGCTTCAGCTTAGCTTTAGCTTAGCTCTAGCTTCGCGTCAGCTTAGCTTCAGCTTAGCCTTAGCTTAGCTCTAGCTTAGCTTCAGCTTAGCTTTAGCTTGGTTTCAGCTTAGTTTTAGCTTAGCCTCAGCTTAGCTCTAGCTTAGCTTTAGCTTAGCTCTAGCTTAGCGTTAGCTTAGCTTTAGCTTAGCTTTAGCTTAGCCTTAGCTTAGCTTTAGCTTAGCTTTAGCTTAGCTTTAGCTTAGCTTTAGCTTAGCTTTAGCTTAGCTTTTTCTTAGCTTCAGCTTGGCTTTGCTGTTACTACTAATGCTGCTTTCCTAGGGGCTCCAACTCCTAGGTAGGGTCGCTCTGGGATAATTTTGTTTACTCCAGATTTCGTAATAAAAGGGAGGGGGTCTGGACCCTCCAAGACAAGCCATTTCAGACCTCCCCCGTGGGAGAACCCTCCAAAACATCGTCCCCAGACCCCCCAGGCCCTCCAAGATAGCCTGGAGGAGACCCCCCCCCCCGAAATGAGACCCCCCTCCCTCTATTACGAACTCTGGAGTAGTACTGTTTGTTTGCTGCCCGACGAGGAGGGCTCTCTCCGCCCGCCGTCCCCGCCGCCGCCGCCGCCGTCCTTGGAGGCACCGCGCCGCTGCCGCCGCGCCCCGGACCTCTCCGGGGGTGCGCTCGGACCCGGATCTCGAGGCGAACCCAGCGGTGGCGACGATAGCCAGCCTCGAACGTGTCCCTGTCCCGGAGATGGGCGAGCAAAAAGCGGGGACAATCTCAGGGATAGGCCTGTAGGAACTGAGGGACTCCTTCAGATCGGCATCGAGGTGAGGTGATGTCAAACATAAGGGATAGGGATCTGCTTCAGACTGGTAAGACGAGGGCCTCCCAGGAGACATCAAAAAAGGGGAGGACGAGGGAAGGGTAGAGCGGTAGGGACACCTCTTCCTCCTCCGGTCGACGCCGCCCTCGTCGCCACCGCCCTCGCCCTTGTCTTCGAGGCGGCTCGCGGGGGCTCGCGGGGAGGGCTCCCTCCTCGGTGGCCGCGCCCCGCCGGCTCGCGCCCTGGGGAGGGCCGGCCGGCGGCCCCCGCCACCGCAGAGGCAGCCCCCGAGAGGAGAGGGGCTGCAGAGGAGGCAGGCGCAGACCGGGCCCGGCCGCGCCTCGCGCGAGCCACTCTCCCCAGGCCTGGCCATCGCTCGGACGTCCCTTCCCTGTGCTTTGTTCGGTTTCGTGCGCGGCTTTCTCGCCAAATGAGCAAGGATGCTCCTCGGTGGCCCTCGCCGAAGGAAAGATGCACACGTCCGAGCGATGCCGAGAGGAGGCAGTCGCAGACCGGGCCCGGGCCGCGCCTCGCGCGAAGCACTCTCCCCAGGCAGGCCCCGCGGCTCAGAGGCCTCTGGGATGGGGTCCGAGCAGACGGGGGTCGGAGGATCGCGCCGCATCGCCAGTGCATCGTCGACGCATCGGCGACGTCGGCGCTGCATCGGCGACGTCGGCGTGGGGGAACACGAGCTGCACATCGAGCCGCATCGTCGATGCATCGGCGATGCGGCGCCATCCTCCGACGCCATCTACTCGGACCCCACCTAGGAGGCCTGGAGCGGCAAGGGGGACGACCGAGCCGTCCTTTCAAGGCCAGGCGAGCGGGGAGTGACGCTGCAGTATGCTGTGGAAGAACGAGCAAAGACACAGAGGTACATGAAATTACGCCCTTCGCGGTCCAGCGTGCTCGAGTGACCGCGTTCCAGCGCAGGCCACCAGATGCTGACCGCGTGCGTGTACCTAAGTGCTCGCCTCTGCGTGGAGGGAGGGGGAAGCCATTCTTCCGGGCGTTAGGGAAAGATCGCGCCGAAGGTTTTCGCAATTCGCGGACTCTCTGGAGGCCGTCTCTTACCACCAGGGCCATGAGGACCATCCAGGATGAGCAAAACTGGCACCTGCAAGTCGACATGTCTAGGTGGATCTCCAGACTGCCTCCCTGCTTCCTCCTCCCACCTCCCACCTCTCCTCTTCTCTCTAAGACGTAGCCAGGACGAGGACAACCTCCGGTGACGATACATCTGGAATCTGTGAGATCCGGCGGCTCAGGAAGATGTCTCGGGCCCCGCAGCCTTCCCTTTGGACGCCCGAAATGGGTACGGAAAGAATGGGTACAATGCCCAACAACAGCTGTTGTCCCAAACCAACAGCGGCCGCTGTTGGGCGGGCGACCTCCTGTCTCGAATGGACACAGGCCGCGGCGGCGTGGACAGCGAGTCCTGTTCAGAATGAACAAGATCTGCTGTTGGGCATCGTACCCATTCTTTCAGTACCCATTTCGGGCGTGCAGATTCCCAGAACGTCCCGGAACGCTCTGAGAGCGTCCCGGCACGCTCTGGAACGCAATTATCCTCGTCACAGCCCCGCCCTCGAAAACGGCGACGACGGCCGCGGGGGGCTGCCCGTGCCTGTGCCGGGACCCGCGTCCGGGAGGAGGGGAGGAGGAGGAGGAGGAGGAGGAGGAGGAGGAGGAGGAGGAGGAGGAGGAGGAGGAGGAGGAGGAGGAGGCGGAGGAGGAGGAGGAGGAGGAGGAGGAGGAGGAGGGGGGTGCCCGTGCCTGTGCCGGGACCCGCGTCCGGGGTCTCGCCCGCCATCTGCACGGCAACCTCCAGCCCCCGGACGGCATCCTGGCGCGCGGTCTCGCCGCACCCGCCAGGGCCCCCCTCGCGCCCCCCTCGCGCCATGGGAAGCCCTGCGGCGGGCGGCTCCTCGATGTCTTCGGCCCCCCCTTGCCGGGCCCATCAGGAGGAGGAGGAGGAGGAGGAGGAGGAGGAGGAGGAGGAGGAGGAGGAGGAGGAGGAGGAGGAGGAGGAGGAGGAGGAGGAGGAGGAGGAGGAGGAGGAGGAGGCTGGCCCATAAGGGGCTGTCCAAAGAGGGCTCCGGGCGAAGAGGCCGTGCTCGGCCCAGACCTCCGCGACGTCGCGGCTGTTTCGCAGCGTGGGTCCCTGGAGGCTCCTCCTCCTCCTCCTGCTCCTCCTCCTCCTCCTTCTCCTCCTCCTCCTCCTCCTCCTCAGGCTCCTGCTCTTCCTCCTCATCCTCCTCCTCCTCCTCCGCATGCTCCTCCTCCTCCTCCTCCTGCTCCTCCGCTCCCCCGGGGCCAGTCTTTCATCTTGTATCGTTTTGTTGACGGTCCTGGGGCGGAGGGGTGGAGAGGGGAAAGAGATCGGACAAGAACGCCAGAACGAACTCGTCGGCCCAACGGGGCCGGAGGCATGTCAGAGTTGGGGGGGGCGCGACGGAACGGAGCGCGGCGTTGCCCCTGTCCCACTTGCAAATAGAAGTGCGACACCTCCTGCACCTTCGGACGCCTTAAATCTCACCAGAACGCACGAACATTCAGAAAAATTGCCAAAGATGATCGAAAACCTTGATCCCGGATCGTCGGTGCAGGCATTGAGGAAAACTGTTTTTACCTCTGCGGGCGTTGTAGTGGATAAATGTTCCTGGCTGCCGCCAGTGCCGCTGCAAGGCCTCAGGCGACTCGTGGTCGGGCATCTCCTGGGCTATCATGGGCCGTCCTGGGGCGTACTGCGTCACCTGACGTCGCGCACCGCGCCCCGCATACTCTTGCGAGCCCCCTCGCATCGCCCCCCTTTGGAGAAAGGCAATCGCATTGAACCAGGCGCTTGCCAAACTGGTCTCCCTACAAAAGGAGACATGCCCAGGCGGAGCCGTTCGTAGCCCCAGGGAGAGAGGGGGGTCACAGTGGGATCAAGGCTTCGGGCGGCACTTTTGGGGGGAGGGCTTTACGCTTCACGGGGCTCCAGGATAGATCCAGGTAGCTCCAGGCTCTCCCTCTCGTGCCTCGCGTCTGCTGGGCTCTCCGCTCCTGCGCGTGAGCCACAAGCGGAAGGACCCAGATTGGAAAGAAAACATGGCCGCCTCGGCGTGCCACTATGGATAGAGAGAGGCCAGCGGCGGTACAGCTCACGCCGTTCGCTCGGCGTTCGCCCTCAGTCGCCTCATGTCTATGGGGCCGATAAACAAGAACATCTACAGAAACATATCCGGTCGGAGATCCACACGGGTTCCTTGGGTACTACATAAGTCCGCGCGGACCTCCGGCCGCTCACGCTTATGTCGTTTTCTCTTCTTCGAATCGAGGAGGCCTCCCTCGAAGGGCACCGCCGAGCAGGAGAAGCCGTCTGCGGCAGCCTCCATCATCTCGGGCCGAAGGTCGGGGCTTGGTTCTCGCCTTAGCGCCGCGCACATTCGATGTCAAACATTTGCAAGAAGTTCACTGGTTCTCATGGCAAACGTACCAGGAAGTGTGTTTTGGAACGGTTCACTGCTGTCAGGGCGCAACAGTTGCGTCGATTCGCGGTGTTGAGATCCGAGGAATGGCGTTCTGGTGCGACTCAATATCTTCAAGACGCAACAGTCAGGTTGACTCGTGGCGTTGATATCATGAGAATGGAGTTCTGTCATGCGTCAGGCTTTCCACCACGATTGTTCCCCAACGGGGCACTTCCCTCAGTGGAAATGAACCCGTGTAGGGGCCCATGGCGAGGGAGCTTGTAGGGCGGTCGATTCAAATATCGTTGATGGATTTACACTGGTTCTCCTCCCCCCTCTTACAGACGCCCTCATTTTCTGTGGGTCGGCGAAATGGCGTAAGCCACTTTAACAAAAAGGCGGCCGAGGTTACACTTCAAAAAGGCTGGCGGGAGAGCCGCTGATGCCGCACTGCGCTCCTTCTGGCGTGAATATTTCGCCCCGCGCTCCCTCTCATCGACCCCTGATCTTCTTTCCAAGATTCAATCGCTCAAGGCCAGGGGCCTGGCGGACACGATGTGCATGGTGGGCGAAGCGGGATGTTTCTTCCGCGTGGGATATACCACTCCCAACCTTAGGTCGGGCCTGTCCCCCTCACAGGGGGGTTTCAGGCGAAAACCCAAACATATCCAAAACATATCCCAAAACTGCTCAGAAATAGTCAAACACTCGTCCCCGACCTCTCTCTTGACTATGTTTGCATCGCCCCCCATGTGAAAGGGACAGGCCCGACGTAATCCCAACCTGTCGGGTGTGGACGAAACTTATACCAGCCTCGAACGTATCCCTACCCCTGAGGTTGACACGCCAAAAGGCGATGACAATCTTAGGGATTCGCCCTCAAAAAATAAGGGAACCCCTAAGATTGGCATCGTGATGAGGAGGTGCCCAGCATAGGGATAGGGATATGCTCCAGGCTGGTAAGAAACCGCTCCAGGCGCTGCACCGTCTCCTCCCCCGCGCCTCTCATCGGCCGCGGGGCCCGTGGCGCGGCCTCGAGGTGTTGAAACAATCCAGTTTTATCATTGTTCATTAAGCAAGATATGAAAAGATTATAGGTTGTTTTTATTGCTATTTTGCCCCCCCCCCCCCCCCCCCGGGGAGGGCCCACTGAAGTACAGGAAGAGGCCCCAATTTCGGGAGCGGCCAAGAGGGGGGTGTCCAAGAGGGGGGGGGGTGCGAATCATGACCGGCGGCATGTGCGCGGCCCAGCGGGGGGGCCAGGGACGTACTGATGAAGTAAGAAGAGGGGGGTGGATATCATGGCCCACGCCATGATATCCACCCCCCTCTAGTCATCACCCCCCTCTTTGCCGCCCCCGACAAATACGCTGAAGGAGGGCCCCCAGCAGAGTCACAAGAGAGCCACCGGAGAGGCCCGAGGAACACTGCACATTGGCACGATATGACCCCAAGCCGCCCCCGAGGAAGCGCCCGCGGCCGCCCCCGGGGACTCCCGAGGTTCCCTCGGCTCCTGAGACCAGGCGGGTTGCACCGAAGTCAAGCTTCCTGTCCTCTCCAGGCCTCCCCGCAAGCCGTTCACACTCTGCCAGGGGGCCCCCGACAGGAACCAAAGGCATGAGAACGCTGTCATCGCCCGTGCGAGCAACAAATACACATTGCTGCATTATCTCTGGCGTTTCGGGGAACAAGGGCTGCGTTGACTCGCCAGAGGCGTCTTTGGTAACGCTGCATAGTCCGCGAGGAGGCCCAAGCCATACACCAGCAATGAAAAGTACATGCGAGTTTTCGCGCGGAGCATGACATGCTGCCCATGTCTGCTGTGCAGGAGAAAGCGAGTGGGATCTTTTTTCCGAGGTATTCAGATCTCCGCAGAAAATCACCACGATGTGACGTTCGGCACAGCAGCTCCCTTGGAGCCCTCAACATATCTACTGGGCTGAACAGTTACAGCGTGAAGCGTTAACGGCATCCAAGATCCCGCAGAGCATGGATGGCCTGCAATGGGAAAATCGTGGGTCGTCCTGCTCCAACCGCCCTCCTGCCCCACCCACTACCCCTTCCTGATCACCGCCATCATGAATCCCACCTCCTCATCCTCATTCACATCATCATGCTTTTGCTCAGCCGCCTCCTCCACGTCAGCAGTTTCAACCTCCTCCTTCACGCCTCCTCCTCCCCCTCCGCCTCGGGCACGCGCTGACATGGATTAGGGATCCGTGGATCCGGCGCAAGGGCGCCAGATCCATGTATGAGGGGCAACGATAGGGGGGGGACTGGCATAGGGGGGGATGCATCGACCTGAAATCGGCGATACATCGCCGATAGATCGGCGATATGCCTCCGATCGTGAACCCGCGCCTTCCTGCAGGGCATGCGGGGGCTATCGGGCCCCTATCGGCGATCAATGGGCGATTGGAGGTCGAGGCAGCCCCCCCTATGCCTATCCCCCCCTTGTCGTTGCCCCTGAACGCATCGGGGAGGGCGCCCCTGAAGCACGAGGCCCGTGCAACCTGATCCGGCGACGGCGCGCGCCGCTTCTGCGTGGAAGCGAGGCCCGCCGCTCATCCACTCGCCCCGGTGCGTGCCTGCGCCTCCTCGCGGCTCCCCCCTCCCCTCGCTCCTCCTCCTCGTGCTTCCGGGCCCCCCCCCCCAAACGCCCCCCCTGCTGGAAGGGGCGCCGGAGGAGGAGGAGGAGGAGGAGGAGGAGGAGGAGGAGGAGGAGGAGAAGGAGGAGGAGGAGGAGGAGGGGGGAGGAGGAGGAGAAGGAGGAGGGAGGAGGGGGGAGGAGGGGGAGGGGGAGGAGCAGGATGAGGAGGAGGAGGAGGAGGAGGAAGAGGAGGAGGGGGAGGAGAAGGAGGGAGGAGGAGGAGGAGGAGGAGGAGGAGGAGGAGGAGGAGGAGGAGGAGGAGGAGGAGGGAGGAGGAGGAGGTAGGAGGAGGAGGAGGAGGAGGAGGAGGTAGGAGGAGGAGTGAGTGAGTGACCCCAGTCGCAAAGCGAATCCCCTGAACAACGAAATCCGCCGAGCCTGTTCGGCTTTGTTCAGAACCTTGGGCCATCGTCCCTCTGAGATCCTGCTGAAAAAACTCGGCTCGCTTGGAGTAGCCGCTTTGAGAAATTATTGCCCCAGGCCTTTCAACACCTGACTTGCGAAACACCCGCAAAAAACGAAGCTTCAAACCTGAGTGGAGACGCGTGCAGTGTGAAGGATGGCCACGGACCGTGCAGGCGGGGGAGGGGGGGGCGGTGGCAGACACTTTTTCCTCCTCACAAGCTCCAGCTCACTCTCGCGTTTTTAACACGTCGACCGTGGCGCGGAAAAAGGCGCAGCCTGAGCAGATACGCGCTTAGTTCCCACATCTCTGCTCGTAACCGTGCTCCGGGACCCACCTGCACAAGCTGGGCAGCTGCTCCTGCCAAAACGTCTGCGACTGCAGTCCCCAGAATCATCCATGGTGGGAATTTCCCAGCAAGAATTTCACGGGGCCCCAGGTGCGAGTTGACGAGCAACACCACAACTGAGGTTGACTTACGTCCTGAGCGGAATTGTTGCCCTATTTCGTGCCATAGATCTGCGTCCTGACCGCGCGGGTTCTCGAAGCGACGTTCGCTCCACCCGTCGGCCATTCCCTGATTGTCTGCGGTGTGCACGATCGGTCCGCCGGTCATCTCGATAGCAAGAAACAAAGCTCTCAGCTTGCCTCTGGGGACTGATTGTCGAGTCCCCGTCAGACCTCCTGAAACCGAACTCTGGGTGCGAATCGACTTGAAATCAACTTTGTGGGCCACTGCTAGGCCGACCCTGCGGTGCCGAGAATTTCCGGACTGCCCCCCCGCTGGGCTGGGCGCGCGTCCCAGACCCAAAATGCCAGACAGAGCCTCGCCTGAGGAGAACCAGTCTTCCTCGCTCATCGGAGGAGGAACCGCATACCATGACGACGGGAAAAGTCCTCGGAGCAAAAAGCATTCTGCTGCTTCCCATCCTGAGCACGCTTCTCCAATCAACGTATCAGAAAACAAAGAATAAGCTGCTGCCCCAGAGCTGCATCGGCAACCCCAGATCCTGTGGGTCGCAGTCTCACGCTCCTCCCCGCATCCCTGACAAATAGGATCGATTGTGATACTCTTGCCGCTGGTGTACTCGGCTCTGCGGTCGCGTGGCCAATAAGCTCCACCTGCAATTGTAACGACTAACTCCGATAGCCGACTCCCACCCTGGACCTGCAACATTTGTTGGTGAAGACGCCAGAGGGAAACGAAGTCCACGCCGTCTTCCATGCCAGATCCAAAGTTGTGCTGAGCTGCTCGACTCCATAACTGCCGTGAGATGGTATGCTGAATGCCTGTGACCAAGACTCCTGGATCATCCACGTCTGGCCAGCCTGCCCATGCCTCACTTGGAAACTGCCAGTCGACAGACTCCTGCTCAGGTGCGTTTGGGGTCAGCGTCCAATGCGTGACAATGTGTGACTTCCTTCGGGCCCCAGTCCCTATTAATGGGAAGCGCAATGACGGCTGACGCGGGGCCTCGGATGCGCCGCGCGCGTTGCCCTGGGGGGGGGGGGGGGCGCGAAGCTTCTCCACCAAGGGGCCCCGCGCGCGGCAGACGCCCGATCGCAACCTGGGTTCATCCTGCCAGACACGAAACAAGTGACGCAACATTTCTTCTGGTAGTCGGAGAGCGGGGTCCACCGGCGCCTCGATAGCCAACAGAATGGCATGGCATCGCCCCTTGGAGGGCGCGGCACTTGCAGCAGCAAGCTGATGACGATATACATGCATAAGCCCCGAGTGCACCGTGCAACTGGTGGCCGTGTAGTCCTGCAGCTTGCGCCCCCAGTCTCTTCAACTTCGATGTCACTGAATACTTGCGGCCTGGCGCCGCATACTTCGCAATCTTGGCGTGCATCGACTCGTGTTTCGCTGATCTTTTCCGCCGGGCAGTGCGAGCGCGACGGCCGCCGCATCCCAGATCTGCACCAAGAAAGCCTGCATGACGTTGAGAGCGGACCTGCGGCCCTGCAAGCCGCAAGGATCGACGGATCTCGACAGCGTCGGGACGATGACTGCGCACCGCGGCGCTCTTAGCGGCTACTTGCAGTTTGACAGCGGCCAATCCGCGGCAGGTGGCCGTGAGGCTGGCGCGCCATTTAGTCTTGAGATCTTCTCTGGGACCAACTGCTGTCTGGGCAAGACCGCCCGCCCAAATTCAATGCCCCATTATTGGGTGAGCTGCGCAAATTTTTATCGAGGACGCAGCGCGCCATGACGCGGCCGAATCTTGCGCCTGATCGCAGGTCCTGGACGACAGAGCGCGCGGGGGTGATCGGTAGGGCCCGCGAGCTGCACTGCCAAAAGGTTCTCGGCGCCATGCGCTGCGTCACCTCGAGGCGCGAGATGGGCGCGGGAAGCCCCGAAGCGATTCCTTCGGAATGAGGGCTCCCAAAACTATACCGTCGTAGAACCCGTCGGTGAGGAGGGGCGCAGTGCCTGAGGGCCCGCGCAAAAGGCTTCGCGAAGAGCCGCGCCCCCCTTCGCAGAAGCGCCCCAGTGTGACGCGGGCGCCGACGCCCACTGTAGTATAATAGGTTCTCGCGCGAGCGACCGCAACCGACTGGACATAGAAGAAACCGATGATGCGGCCTCCCTCTGTCTGTCGGAAGTAGCCGTCCGAGCGGTGGCGTAATCTGATGTGGCCATGCGAGCTCTGATTCGATTGACATGTAGATCCGAGCTAGATCATCAAGTTCAGCGGCGGGGAATCGCTCGACATCTACCAGGGACATGCGATCGCGCCCTGGGCCTGCACGGACCGACGTGCACAGCGCAGCAATCCGAATATCTTCGCCTGAGATGGGAGGCAACGGTTCCAATCCAGCGCGCTCGCGTGAGCACCGAAAGAAGGCTTCTCGAATAGCACCTTCATCGATGGGGCCGTCCGCCCATTTAGACTTCCACTTCTTCGGCTTGTGGTGGACAATCTCCAACGGCTGGTACACGATGCGCCCATCAACCTCCGGCCCCCGGCGAACCGAGGGCCCGTGGCGAACTGCGCGGTGCAATGCGCCGAGGGGGGCTGTCTCTTGCATCCTACGGCTAAACTCCTGCAGCGATGAAGCGATGATGCTGGAGCTCGGCGTTGCGTGGACTTCCATCAACCGTTGAAGGCCCGCGTCCTGCGTAGGTAATGGTGCAAAAGCCGTTGAAACAGAATGAAGCCACTGCCCCCGAAGCGGGCCCTGGGGCAGTGGAACTGCGCGGGCATGCGCGGGCCATTTCAGGCCGCTCGTCGACATATCTGTTCGAGCATTCCAGTGGGCGTCGACGCTGCCGATGTTCATCGCCGCGCGAATGGTGCAGAAACATGCCAGAGAGCAAGGCGTGAATGCGAGCCCGCGAATTGCCGCGGAGTGCTCTCGCGAAACTTGGGGCCTGCGCGTCGCGAGCGACCAGGGCGGGGCTGCGAATCATGGCCGCGCTGAATGGCGAGCTCGACCGCACCCGCCCACGCGGCATACATGTACGAAATAGCCTGAGCGGTCACAGACGGGTTGAGCTAGTGTGCCACGGAGTGGAAGTAAGTATCAGACGGAGGGCTGGCACTGCACGGTCGGGATACCGCTCCCAGCTGACCCCCATGCCATACCGACTCGGGCATGCAATTCCACTTCAATCGGGGGGGTCGGGGGGCGGAGGAGGAGAGAGGGTGGGTCGACCGTCGGAGTTCGAAACGTTGCTGCACTCAGACTGCGGGGGCTTCTAAGCATCACTTCTGGCTGGACTGGCAACGCAGACATCGTTGGCGCCCCCATCCCTTGGCGGATTCGACGATGTGATCCGGAGCCCGGGCAAGTTTAAATTCGCGCACGCGGGCCCGCGGGCCCTCTCCCTCGGACCGCGCCCCAGCGTCCCCATGGAAAACGGGGTCCTCGGAGCGCTCCTCATCGGGGGGTCCAGAAATCAAGGCAATCTTACTCATCGGAAGCCGAATTAGGCTCAACCGCGCTGACTGCAACTGAATCAAATGCCGACGCAAACGGCGATGACAGCAACTCGCCGAATAATTGTTCCAAAATGTTTTCGTCTCGCGGTCGCGCACTGCTCCTGCCGTTCGAGCCTCTCTGCTCGCGCTGCCGACGCCTTGGAGCAAGGCGCCGGGGCCGCGCGCCGCCGCGCTGCCGGCGGCAGCCTCGGAGGTAAATCGAGATATCGCGCCCCAGGCCGCCGACCGGCGCGCCGGAGGCGAACGGGGGGTCCGAGATGTGGCTTCCACGGAATGTCTACGAATGCCTGGACTGAATGGAGGAACGTCCTCGCCTCCTCTGACGCCGCCAGTTAGTCGATGTGGCTGCGACCCCCGCGCCCGAGGTTGCGCGCGGCCTCGACGTCGGACTTCGCGGTGCTAGGTCGCCCGCGTGGCCGCGTTATATATATGTGCACATATATATATATATTTATATTTATGTGCATATTTGTATATATAAATGTGTGTATATATGAACATGTTTATAGCTATATATGCATATTTAAGCGACGAGTTGTCGAGCGACTCGGCGGGAGTGTTAAATCGCCAATGATGACCCGCGGGGCGCTGAGCGCGTTGACCAGCGCGCCTAACTCCTGGCGCCAGGCCAGGCTGGGCCCGGCGAGCCCAGCCCAGCGAGCCCAATGGACGGAAAAGGCGTAGAACGGGATAAGTGCAACTGGATACCCACTAAGATGAGTTTCGACGGGCTGAAAACCGTCGAGATGAGAGTGTGTAGAAGTCGAGCTGCTGCCTCGGACAGCGCTGACTGTGCCTGCAGATGACTCTTGGCGAGCGCCCACTCGCAGCCCTCGTTCGCGCGCGCCGCCTGCGCCTTGGCCACCTTGCGCTGGCGGCCGCGGGCTGGATTGCATAGTGAACGAGAACATGCAGCGCGAGCTTTCTTGTTCCAGGTGACCACGTCCTGAGAGCACACGCGCGTCTCGACTGCCGCAGCGTCATCAAAACCTTGGGAGGGGAGATACTTCCAAAGATGATCGCCAATACGCGTGATAATGTAGCCCTCCCCTGGGGCTGTGCCGAACTCGTCTCTGTCGCTGCTGGGACTGACTGTGAGCTCATCGCCCTGGCTCTGTAGAATTGCCTAGTCACAGCGACGCCGCCGCCGCCTGCGCGCCATCTCCCTTGCCCGCGGTGGCGGAGGTGCCCTTGCCCTTGCCGAGCGAGCTGCCCTTTGTGTCGGCATTCTGTTCGGCCAATGCTTTGAGCTGCGACTCCCGCTTGGGCTGGGGCAGGCGCTCCGCCGCGTCGGTGAACTCCTGATCGTGCTCTTCTCCTGCCAGCTGCGCCTCAGCAGAGGCCGCAGCCGATGGGGGCCTCTGGTGGTGGGGGCGAAGCCTCTGCGGCAGGGCTGGGCGAGCCGCCTTTGCCCGTGCTTGCGCCAACGCTGGAGGAGGCTCCCTTGGGCTGCCCAGCATTTGCCACCGCCTGCTGCACCTTCCTCTGCTTGTTGAAGCGGTCCGCGAACGACTGAACCTCTTGCGAGTTTGCCAACATTGCCGTGACTTCCGCCTCCGCCTCATTGGTCGTCATCAGCGTGGCGAGCCCTTCTAAATCGGACCTGATCATCCGAAGGATGGCTCGCTCTGCTGCCTCGCATTCAAGCTCCTCGATGCCGTCGAGCTCCCGGTCCCAGCTGACTGCAAACTTGGGCCTAGCGCTGGGGTCCGCGCCCTGCATGGAGATGCCCTCCGCGAGCGCGAGCGCCTCCGCGGCTGACTTCTTGGCCCGCTCGCCCTGAGCCAGGGCCAGGGCTGCCGACTTCTCGTTGGCGCGCGCCTGCTCCAGATTGGATTTCAAGCGGACCACGTTCGCAGCCGCCTGGGTGTGCTTGTGATCCGCATCCTTGAAAACACTCGTGGCACGCTTGAGGACCTCGGCGGAGCCCCCCACCCCGGCCGTGTCGAGCGTCAGCTTTGTGGACCTGCGCCTCGAACGCCTGCATCAGTGTGGGGTCTTCCGTCCCCTTGAGCGCCATGCGGAGCAGCTCGGGGACACTGTGCGTGGAAGTCTGAGGTTCCTTCCAGGGGTTGCTGTCCTTGCCCTTGCCGCCACCTGATGCTGCCGTGCTGCCAACACCTGCCGACTGCGGCTGCCGCGCGACCGCGGCGGCGGACCCAGGGCGAGGCTTGTGGAGCTTGACCTTTCGATTGCAGCCTGGACACCTTCGATCCTCGACACTCGAATGTCGTTGTATTCGCAGCATTGGCACGCGCGACGAGACCAACGACGAGGCATCGAAAGCATGATTACTCCTGTTTTTGTCGACGCTCGGTCCCTCGGATAAGAAACGAAAACGTAGTGCCTCAAGTACCTCGTGCAGGCACAGGAGCTGGGAGGGAGGGAGGGAGGGAGAGAGGGAGGAGGGAGGAGGGAGGAGGAGGAGGAGGAGGAGGAGGAGGTGCAGGCACAGGGGCTGGGAGGGAGGGGTCGAGCCCGAATGCTACTTGAGCGAGGAGGAGGAGGAGGAGGAGGAGGAGGAGGAGGAGGAGGAGGAGGGGGGAGGAGGAGGAGGAGGGGGGGGAGCAGGAGCAGGAGGAGCAGGAGGAGGAGGAGGAGGGGGAGCAGGAGCAGGAGGAGCAGGAGGAGGAGGAGGAGGAGGAGGAGGAGGAGGAGGAGGAGGAGGAGGAGGAGGAGGAGGAGGAGAAGGCGCCGCCCTCCGAGACGCCTCCCAAGGCCTGGGCAGGCGGCCGCGGCCGCTCCTCGACGGTGATGGGCCGCGAGGTGAGCAGCTCGACGGCGGGCACCGGCCGGTGCGGCTGGTGCGGCAGCGGCATGCGGCAGCGCCTGGCATGGCAGGGCCACAGGCCTCGGCGCTGCGAGGGCTGGGGGGGAGGGGAGGATCAGAGGCGACGAGGGGGCGGATAGCCCAGGGGAGAGCAATGCACGTATCCAGAGGCGCCGATGCTCGATTTCTTCGACAAAGCTCCTGGGCGAATGATGCGTGTAATGCCCGCCCCTGGCTTTTCGCCGGCGTGGGGGAGGGGGAGCCGCGCGTAGAGAAGAAACAAACAGATAAACAGAAACTTTTGGCGCTCCGCTCGGATTTCTTGGATCTGCACTGGGACCCCCCAGCGGCGCCTCCAGCGCCGCCCATGGCGCGCGCTCCGCGCGTCAGGGAGGGGGTCCAGCGCAGATCCAAGAAATCCGCGCGGAGCGCCAAAAGTTTACGTTTACTGTTTTGTTGTTCTTCTTCGAGGGGAGGGGAAGCCGCGCATATGTACACCAAGGCATCTTGGCCCTGTCCAGTAGGGCTTCGCAGAAACGCCACATAATAACGCATACCCCATGATAGTCTGGCTGATTCTCTGGGCGACAGGTGCTGGGACAGAGATGTAGAGAATGTGCTTGGGCCGCCGTTTGCCACGAAGTGGTGGACAGCCAGAAGATAGGCATAGCATGGTAGGATGGACATGCTCCTCGCCCCGAGGGCGGGCCAGGACCTCGAGAGGTCCTGCTCGTCGTCCTCCTCCTCCTCCTCCTCCTCCTCCTCCTCCTCCTCCCCCTCCTCCTCCTCCTCCCCCTCCTCCTCCTCCTCCTCTTCCTCCTCCTCCTCCTCCTCCTCCTCCTCGTCCTGCTCGTCCACTCATTTCCAGACTTCCCTGCACCCAGGCGCTCTCCTCCGCTTGCGGCCCGTCACGGGGCCCCGGGACCATCGAGACTGGATCTGGGACGACTCGCTGCCCGCGGGCAAGGGAGCGGGACTGGCAGCCAAAACCTCGTCGGACCTCTGGGTCGCACCCACCAGTGAGGGACAATGACAGTGAGAGACTGGTATGAGGGGGCATGCGTCGACATAGAATCGGCGATACAACAGCGACAGATTGGCGAGAGCCCCGCGATTGTGAATCCGCACCTTCGTGGGCAGGTCGGGGCTATCCGGCCCGCATCGGCCCCCAATGGGGCGATTAGGGGTCGATGCAGTCCCCCAGCGTGCCTATCCCCCCCCCCCCTACCCATCGGTCTGAAGGCGTTGAATGTAGATTGGGTGTCTGCCCACCCCTTCAGGAGGAAGGCGCCTAAAGCAGATTGGACCCTGGGAATCTAGAAATACCTACTCTCAACGACCGATGGGTATCGTTGCCCCTGAACCAGGCGACGTTCCTCCATTCATTTCGGCAGAGGGCAATTCGAGACAGCGGCGGCCCTCCCCCTGGAGCTTTGTCGTCCCCTTCTGGCCTCCCCTGGGGGGGTCCCGTCGCTGCGGCTGGAGCGGTTAAACAGGAGGCTGGGGCTTGAGCTGCTGCTGGGAGTCGCAAACTGCTAGACCCGAACCTGCCCTACTTAGTGTATGTATGTATATATATATAGATTGCTGGTGTGATTCTGACAGAAACCATCCATGAACACCGTGCCCCCTGCGAACAACTGATCATCTTCAGCCTCAGGAGGATCTATCCAGAGCACGATCAGGGCGGGGATGAGGGCCTCCAGGATGGGGGGCGAGGCCCATAGTGAACAAGATCCAGCCATCCACGGAGCAGGAGGAGGACACGATCATCGCGGACGCCCTGAGAAAATCATCGTCGTAAAGTTCCTCTCTGAGCTCCACGACCCCTTCCCCCTAACACGCCCCCAGACGGAGGAATGGCAAATCCGAAGGACCCAAACAAGGCCGACAACCGATCGCACCCGCTTGATGGCCGCACGGAGCCGCACGCTCCTGGGCCCAGCAAGCTCCGCAGACGATTGCCCTGATCGAGCCTGTCTCGAACGGTGCATGGAACTGCGGCGCTCGCGGAATACAGAGTCGTAGTAGAGCCCGGAATCGACTCCAAGCTTCGGTCCAGAGAGCCTGCGCAACTGCCTCCTCAGCACAGCCTTGCGAAGCAACATGTTGAGACGTGTGGGTGAAGAGTCAGTCGGTGAGGCCATACTCCACGACAAGATCACTTCTGAGCTTCACCAAGACCAGAAGCAGGATGAGGAGGAAGCGAGAAATGATTTGGAAGCGGGCGCGGAGGTCGTAGAGGAATCGAGGCGGAGGGGGAGGGAGACGACAAAGGCGAAGATGTTTTGACGTCCACGACGTCGCCTCCTGACCCCGACTGTACAGAACAGCCAACCTGCAGCGGAGGGTGATGCAGGCTGAGGAAGGCGAGGAGAGGAGGAACAAATACGGAGGATCGGGCGGGCGCAACGCCCAAAATTCACGCGATCGGCGCGGGGAATCCGCGAATTGAGGAGGCTGGCGCAGAGGGCGCAGCCCTTCGGCTGGCTCGCCGCAGCATGACTGACTTGCAGCACTGCGCATGCGTCGAAAGGCATTACATCATTCTCCAAAGGGAGTGTTTAGGTCTTTCAAAACCTTGCCACTGCTTACACTTGTTTGATCTGCAGGGCGAGAGCGAACCTCTTCCGCTGAAAGCTAAGCGGGACGCGCACAGCTTTAATTAGCAGAGAAAGGGCGGAAGAAAGCGGGGCCTCACGCGGCCGGAGCGGGCGAAGCCCAGGGATCAGGCGGTGCCGAAGTGGACGTGCAGGAGAAGGTACTGCCAATGCTTACACTTAAACATTCCTTGCGCACGTTGCCTGTGCTCCTGATCAGCTCAGGCCCGCTCGCTCCACCGAATATGGTATGCCGCCGAGGCAGACCACGGTCTTCTTTCGGAGAGTTGGCAGACTACCTGGCTGCTCCATTCGCGTCTGGCGACCAAGCAGACCACATACACTTTGCTTCAACTTCAGAACGTCAAGGAGGCCCGACACCGTCCAGAATCAAGGCCGCCTACACGGGGCCAGAGCACAGGTGTCCGAGGATCGCACCAGATCGCCGACACATCTCCGATGCATCGTCTGCTCGGCACGAGCATCCGACCTCATCTGCCCTGGCCCATTCTTGGCGACCCCGACTAAAAGCATCAAACATCGAACCTCGAGGCTTGCCGGGCCGCCGCCGCTGGGCCTGGGATCAGTGGGCGAGGACATGTTTTGACTGCCTGCCAGACCACTCCAACCCAACCCGAAGACCCGAATTTGACCCGAATTTCGGGTTGGGGGGTACGGGTTCCATGTGGTTTTGCAATGTTCCCCGACCCCCCCCCCCTGGAAATGAAGGGCAAATTGAAGCCTTCGGGTTGGGTTGGGGTGGTTTAGTGGGTGGTGATGTCTGGGCCCCCTGGGGCCCAGATAACTACATCCGTACCCGCCGCCTCCTCAGGTCCAGGAGGACTGTTCTTTCGTGGCTGGAGGCGGCTGGGGGGGTCCGAGCTTCATAGGCGCCGAGAACATATGTCAAGAACTTGATCGGGCATGCCCCCCTTACAAGGGGATTTTGGAGGAAAAATAAAAAAAATGTCAAAACATGATCGAAACATGATAGAAAAAGCGCCGGAGGCGCCGCCAGGGGGGACCCAGCGCAGATCCGAGAAAGCCGCGCGGAGCGCCAAAAGTCTATGCTTATAGCGTTTTTTCTCTTTCGACCGCCTCTCGAACCTAGGGGGGGGAGGGGCGTCACGTTATAAGGGGGGGGGGAGGGGCGGAACGTTATAGGGGGGGTGAGGGGGGGCTGGGGGCTGTAGTGCCCACTATGCCCCAAGCGATACAGAAACACGCGGATCCGAGAAAACCGCGTGGAACGCCAAAAGATTATGTGTCTCCCTCGACCACCTCTCGAACCTCGCCGGGCCGCCGCCGCCAACTCATGACCGGCGGCATGTGCGCGGCCAAGGGGGGGGGTCTGGGGACGTAATACAATAAGAAGAGGCGCCATGAGATCTGAGGACATATCATGGCCCACGCCATGATATCCACCCCCCCCCAGTCATCCCCCGCCTCTTGGCCGCCCCCGAACGCGCTCGAACCTCGCCAGGCCGCCGCCGCCACTGGGCCCGCTGGTCCGGGCAGATGTGGTCGGAGGATCGCGCCCCATCGCCGATGCATCGCCAATGCATCACCCATGCATCGCCGACGTCGCAACGGAAGGGGCCCTGGGACACACAAATAAACACACACACACAAATGTCAGGATTCCCAATATTCTCCTATGTATTTCCTGGGTTTCTGTCTTCCCCCCCAGTTCCCACATCTTCCAACATTTTCTGGAGGGTCGACGATTAGTTGTGTCTGTGTATTTTTTCCCCTCCTGAACCACGGGCTCCACATCGAACCGCATGGCCGATGCCCTCGCCTTTGGACGCCCGAAATGGGTACGGAACAAATTGTACCATGCCCAACAGCAAGTGTTGTTCCAAACCGACAGCGGCCGCTGTTGGGCGGGCGGCCTGCTGTCTCAAGTGGACGCAGGCCGCGGCGGCGCGGACAGCGAGTCCCGTTCAGGATGAACAGGAACTGCCGTTGGGCATCGTACCCATTCTTTCCGTACTCCAGATTTCGTAATAAAGGGAGGGGGGTCTCATTTCGAGGGGGGGTCTCTTCCAGGCTATCTTGGAGGGCCTGGGGGGTCTGGGGACGATGTTTTGGAGAGTTCTCCCACGGGGGAGGTCTGAAATGGCTTGTCTTGGAGGGTCCAGACCCCCTCGGGCGTCCAGATCGCGGCCGCGCGGGGGAGGCCAGGCCGGGCCGCAGCGGCCTGCTTGACTCCCCTCCCGCCGTCGGCTTCTCGTGCGATCGGGGCGCCCCGTGGCCCGAGACGGCAGATGGCCTCGTCGTCGTTGTCGTCGTCCTCCTCGTCGTCGTCATCGTCGTCGTCGTCGTCGTCATCGTCGTCGTCCTCGTCCTCCTCGTCGTCGTCGTCGTCGTCGTCGTCGTCGCAACTGGCCTCGTCCTCGGCCGATGCCCTCGCCTCTGGCCGCCGCCGCCGCTGGGCCCGCCGGCCGGCAGGGCACCCCCCCTCCGCCGCCCGCGGGG